AATGTTTGTAAATTATATTGTGTTTGTAATTTCCATTTCCATTTCATCCAGCATAATAGCTATGGTCATTATTTTATTTTAACACGCGTTGATAGTGTAGATAAATATTTTGTACACGAACAGTTTACAACAGCGATTCTCAAACATTTTTTTTCACGTACCACTTAAGTATAGTATCAATTAGTCGCGTACCACTGATGGTTACAAATAGAAAGATACAGACTTTACATAGTTAAACACATTTATTTTAAATAAAAATGCAGTAAAATATTACAATATAGTTATTATTTATTTATTAATACACATTTATTAGTGTTAAAAAATTAAAGTATGAATTAAATAATATATTTTCAATGAGAACCTTGGATTTGTGGATTTGATATTAGCGATGAAATATCTGGTTCAGTGTTACTTAAGGCCTTCCGTACCAACATGTAGTCTTGCGCGTACCACAAGTGGTACGCGTACCACAGTTTGAGAACCGCTGGTTTACAATATTGTATTAAAAGCGTTTTTATTTCCATTTACGTTACTCGTACCTATAGGTATATATAACGTTTTTATACTATGCTTTTAAATAAAAAATAATATATATAACTGAAATAAATAACTTTGCAAACATTTCAAGTATCAGCTATAGAACCAATAGTTTTTCTTAACTACAACGGAATTATTAAAATGTTTGAAATTCTTTTTGATATGTATCGGTAGATATTTTTCGGGAAATTATGGACAGTTCAAAAATTAACGTCTCCATACTAAATCGACCCAATATCCAAAACGAAAGATAAATGTGTGATCTATTTCAAGCTAGCTGACATATGTACTTCAAGAATATGAACATTGTACACTACGATATAACGGGAACAAAAAATAAGAAAAAAATCGGTGTAAAAAATGTATGTGTATAATTATTGATATGAAATTTAATAGTTATTAGTTAATAGTTGCGGTTTCTGATTAATAGATACATAGAGGTAGGTAGTTAATAATATTGTCTGTTATGTATCGCGGACATCACTTTTTGGACCATTTTTTTTAAGAAAAAAGGCTTAACTAATAATATGATAGTGAAATACTGAAATATTGTAATATTTGTAGTATCACAATGCAAATAAATTAGTTAATTCTTATAAATGTCTCCAGTAATTTCATCGGAAGTGGGAGAGTGCCCCCCCTCCCCCAAGCCACCCCCATTGATACGCCTCGCCGATCGGGGTAATTTTCTACAAAATCCAATCGCACTTATCGTAACAAAAATGTCCGTAAAACGCATTATAGTAAAACACTAAAACCGACAAGCACCTGGCTCTGATCAGTATCAAATATCAGCACCCGCCCTATAATATAATAAAAATAAAGTATGACTATATTATATAATTTTCTTTTGGAATAAATCAATTTACATTATCAGATTAAATTCGAGGACATCGACAATAACACATACGAGTGTACCTCATAAAATAATAGACATAATATTAGCGTTTCATTATACGACCTTTATAGATACCTACAGAAATAATTTGGGGCGATTTGAAACAGCCGTACTATACGACAACATAATATCATAATACATATTACTACGAGTGAGCAAATATAGTTTCTTTTAACAATATTTGTTCTGCTTGATTTTTTATTTATCGAGTGTTCTCAGTAATAGAGCAGTACGCCATAGGTACCTTTATGATGGGTATATAGTTTAGGTGTGTCTGAAAATTTAACTTTCAATACAAAAACAAAAAAACATCTGTAACGGGGTTGGGGGCTCAGCTGTTATAATAACACTATGTAGGTAATTCAGCGAGGGTTTTCAGAGCCCTTGGAATTATAATTTTAACTCTATTCTGTATAGCTAGAAAGCTTCAGAAAAGCTAGTTGCCGATATAATTTACTATCTCAATCCATATTAAATATTATTTCATAACCTTAAGATTAATAAATATTTACATTATATAAATTATAATATTATTTAATATTAAAAAAAAAATATTTTTCATTATTATTATTTTTTTTTATTATTCTTGGTCAATAAATTCTAATTTGGCCTCTAAGGGGGTAAAGGGTTTTTTTTACATAGCTATACAATACATGGACAACGTCGTGACGGGACAGCTAGTATAGCATAACCAAAGACTTACGACTGTTATATTCATCCGGAGTTCCTCAGTGTACTGCTGGCTGTTTGCTCAGAACTATTTAGCTAAGAAGTTTATACTAAGATAATTTTTATATTAAATACTAAATATTAAAATTTAAAATTAATTAAGCTGTATTAAAAGATGTAGTTACAGTAATAAATTAATATCCAATGTAGTATCAAAAATATTAAATTGCATTAAAAAAGGTCGAATGTAAAAAAAAAAAATGGCACTTATGACACATAAATTTATTAAAAACTATAGAACTTTTACTGTAGTATATAATATTATCATATAGATCATGACTAATAGAACAATTTTAAGTTTGACAATAATTTGTTCAATGAAATAAAATATTTTCTACACTATACTATGATAATATTTTAATATACCTACACATTTCAATATTTCATTGATACCGTTACCATATTATGTAATTTTTTCGACCATTTGACCATTTTTTCAAAATAAAAATTCATATTTTCTAACCTATATAATATACTGTTTGTTATGTTATAGGTATCTATGTAGGGTTGCTTGAACAATCACTAAACATTTATTGAATCGATAGTCAGCTAATGGTCTCTGAGACATGATTTAGTAATCGGTCCATTAAATTAATTCATTTTAATATTTAATATAGACATTATGTTGGTTGTAACATGGTCAATATCTCATTTGATGGTAACGAGTATCGAGGGAATAGGGTACCGCACTTTTTTTCGTATATTTTTCTTTAACCAATGCAGCAATGTCTAGGTCGTTGGATGATTTTTTATTTCTATATTAATTATTAATATTTACGTAATACGTATAAACGAAAAGTTTCAAATTTTTTTTTACTTGATAGATCAATTTTAAACCAACTGTGAAAAGCTAATTATTTCAACTGCCAATCAAACTTGTCAAGTTAAAATGTTAATTGTTTTTTTAAACTTTTCTTTAGCTTTTTAACTAGTTAATGCCCACCTTTGCATATTGTACTGTACCTACGCCTATATAAGCGACACATTAGCAACACGAATACCCAGTGTCGCAACTAGATTTTGTGGGGCCCTGATGCTAAAAATGTTATGAGCCCCTGTACTTGTACTACAGTATAATGAAAAAAAGTTAGTGCCGCTGATAACCTTTGACACACCCCTAATACAAGACAAAATGTATGGCCCCCAATTTTGAAAACTTTTCAAACACTATACTATGCTTGTAGAGCAGAATAGAACAGTTATGTTGATTATATTAAGTTCATCATATTTTTAAACTCATCTCCAACAATAATTATAACAACTTAAATTATTGTATAAATCAATATATGGTACTAATGTTTAGTTAAAAAATGTATAAAACTATTGAAAATGACCATCTAGAACGTGTGGTATAATTAAACTTTGTTTATTAGTTAAAAAAACACAGTATTGTACTACAACATTTGAGTATTGGTAGTCAAATATTTTTTTTAATTATGTAGTTATAATATAAATATAGAGTTAGAAATGCTACCGGTAGCACTGAAATTCCAATAGCCACTGAAATGTATTGTATTGGTTTATTATATGTCTCTTTGCAATTCGTAAAATATTAAAAATAATTAAACTACAAAAATGAAATATTTCGAATAAAACTTACTTTGTTCATGTTGGTCCAATTAAAAAAAATTTTAATTTTTTTATTAGGATTTAAAATAGTTTGTTTTTGCTTTTTGTTTTTCCTCCTCTTAGCCGTCCCACTAAGGACTTTTGGTTTCATCATTTTTAGAATTAACGAATTACAATATTAATAAGGTACGCTGATTAGTGATAACTGTTATTATGTGATTGTGTGTCCATGGCCCGAGCGTGTGTTTGTATGTGTTCTATGTTGAGAGTTATAAATAAATCAATTTTTTTATTTTATTTTTTATTTCCAATTTTAATATCACTGTGACACTGTAAATGCTTAATTTAATATTAATAACAACTACGATTTTAATTAAATACACTTTTTTTATAAAATTGATTTGCGCTTATGGGTTATTAAAAAGGTAATTTTTTCTGCGCTCATGGGTTATTTATTTTTGCGCTTTTGAGTTGCGTTTAGGTCTTATTTTGCGCTTATGGGTTACACCCATATTTACCTATTAGCTTACATAGTATGTACAGTATTTTTATCAGATTTAAGCTGAAATTGTATTTTTAGATTCCCCCCCCCGTAAATATGTTCAAGACCCGCGACTGATCAGTGGTCACAATGTTGTCGGGCATTTATTTATATTAACATAATTTGGCGTTTGATCCTTTGATCGTAATATCAATCTGTAAAGAAGAAATAATAAAGAATAATGTACATTTTCCATTTTTTTTTTTTTATTACAACTTCCTTAATTTTTCCTTTTGATGGTGCCCCCCCCCCATTTTTTACATAGAACCTGGCCAGGGAATGCATCACTGCATGCCCTGCCTCTCCGACTGTCGCGGCACTGCCGCGGAATACCTCCTATACACCTATACTTATCAGTGCTTTTGCGCCTCCCCAAAAAGTGATTCTTGTGATCCTCGTGCATATATACGACAGCATTTATACACATATATATATATGTATATGTATTGTATATATAGGTGCAGATAGTTTGTATAACACGACTCGATGACATGGTGAACGCAAAGCATCGGACATTGAGGGCGCATCGGCGCTGCTTGCCGACGACAGGCGTCCCCGCGGGCGGCGCGGTTGGTCGCGGCGGCGATGGTGGTGGTGGTAGTGGTACCTACGGTCAAGACCGAGTCATAATTATGGTATGGGGAAAAAAAAAGTCGGCAGGTAGGCGCATACACGCACACACACACACACACACACACACACACACACACCCACTAACACCCGGCCAGTCAGTGTTCGTCCGGCACCGTTGGCCGCCGATCGTCCTGACGGTATCACTGCGGTGCACAGTATTATAATATATAACACTATTGAATTTAGCAAAACAAAAATAAACATATATCAACGACAATCACAGTTTTCACCATCCGACCTGACGGCCGTCGTTTGCTTTCCGCTGCCGAGTCGGTCCAACAACCGAGCCACATCGTACGGTAGGTACCGTTGTCGGCGGTCGTGTCCGGACATGTGCGAGCCCAGCGATCCCGGTTAAACTCGACACACACGCCGGCGTGCGCCCACCCGACCGCGGCGGCCGGACCAGCTGCTGTCCGCGCGTACACAGGGCGACCGTGGACGTGATGCCTTGCCGTTCGAATTGAAACCCGGCGAATGGGACTATGGGAATTTGTCTGGACACAGGTAGAGGTTTATTTTGTTTCTCGGTAATAATAATGATAAGACGAGGATATCGTAGTACAACATTGTATTTGTATCGCGATAAACAATAATACTGCTCAAACGGTGGCGGACTGGGCTTATATTTTAAATGACGCATTTTAGTACAATTAGGTACTTACCACCACCAACACCTCCCCCCCTCCTTTTACTTGTAACAAAGTTACGGTGTAAATAAAATGTTGCCGAAAGAACCAAGACGCCTCAGCATGTGGTTCTGCTTCGCAGTCACGCTGTGCAATCATCCCCTTTAAAAAGTTGGCGCGGCTGCGACGAGCAAATAGCGTTTGAAATTGTTTTCCCGTGGGGGAGGGGGGGAGCTAAGGCTTGGATCCATATCGGATTTACTTGTGAGACTTTTCTGGTAAGTACCTACTTAAGTACTACAGTAAGCCCCTGCGCCTGTGCACCGCTGCATACTTATGATTGTTGAGGACGACATTTCTCTATACACTTAACTACTATATAATATTATAAAAAGAGTTGAAAAAAAATATTATAAAAGATGATAATCTATATGTTTGATCAAAATCGTTAACTGATCGCATCACACACATTCACGGTAAAATAAATACAAAATTATAAATCTATTTATATGCATAAATATCTGTCTGCCTCTTGTTCCAGCTGCCTAAACGGCTGGACCTATTTTGACGAATTTTTTTGTGCTTTTGATCGATTCCCTGGATGATTTAGATCCAATAAGGTGGGTCGTCCAAGGCGCTATAGGTTGTAGGGGAGATAATTAGTGGATATTAATATTTTTTTCGGTTAATCGAAGAATGCATCAAATCGAACTTTCACACATTGCCTATCAAGGTGGCTGAGTTGCTCTTATAGCCCCTCATCGGACTGTCCGCAATCAAAATAAAAGTAAAACATGAATTATTCATGTTGAGTTGGGAATTTTTAGCTGCCGACGAAGTGCATAGGATCAGCTGGTTTATGTACAAAAACTCTTTCCAAGTCGGCGTCAGCATATTGTATACACTTTCTTGATTTTTAATTTACGTAGAGTCATTAACTACATTGTGATTAAACGAAATTTTGCTTAGGCCGTTTGGCGGTAGGTATAGTGCTTAAGATTTTGAAAAAATATTTCTGATAAAATATTACTTAAAAAATTCAATTAACGTTTATATATATATATAGGTATATCGTATATGTTATCATATAATTTATTTAGTGAAGATTTAAACTTTATTGATCGACTGATTACCCGTTTAATTGATGTGTATCACGACAAGTTTATTTGATATTTAATATTTTGTAGCTTATTTATATTCTTGAAATAAAATTGTTCTCGTAACATTAATATATTATATACAATTAATTAATTTATTTTAAACTGAAGCGGGGTTGCCGGTTGGACACTCCTGATTTAAAGGGAATAAGGCTGTTGTTATAATACCTACGATTAACTCATTTTTACTGCTGTAAATCAAATATCACGAGTTGATACAATTTTTTGTACGATTCAACCACAAATTTAGACTATATATTAAGTGTAATATTTGAGTTACGTATTTGACATTGATGACATATATGTAAATATAATTATGCTTTTAGTTTTTATTGGCTATACTCTTTGGCTCATTTCGATTGTATTGATTTTAAAATTACATTACTTTAATATGTAAAATTACGAAAATGAAACACATTATATGTCTACAGATTCGGAAAAATATCGTCATTCTATAATATAATATGCAATATTTTTTAAGTTTGCAAACGGAAATTGAGCGATCTGATATGTAATTTATTTTTAAAATTGAATAGGTAGAAAAAACCCAGAATCAAATATGTAACCACCCAATAAAGTTATCATCAGTATTTTATGTTTTAAAAAGAAATTCAATTTTCCATGTTTCTGTGAAAAATGTCACCGTGTAATTAAATGTATTAATATTTCAAACACTTAATGTAAACCCTGAAGTAAATTAGGACATTTATACCATTTAACTATGTTTATTACGTTTCCTGCAAGTATGTGTAAAAATGTAAATATATATATTAAGTATACGTATTATGGTCTGATAAAATAAGATTAATTAATTTATGATATGCGTTTGAATATACGTTTTTATGACTACATATTTTAAAACATAAATAAAAATAAAAATTGAATTTGTGGAGGCAGGTTAAAATATATCTACTATACACATTATGTAATGATGACAGTTGCCCGCGAGATACCTCAATCATGGTCATTATAATATCTTCTTATTATTCGCATTTATTAATACATTTTGATTTTATTGAAGCTTTGAATATTTGTACACACAATTTACTGGCTTGATATCCTATTAATGCCAATAAATATTTTAATATTACGTTAACAGAATAGTCTAGTAACCACGTCACTTTACGAAAGACAAATACTAGGTAGTTATGAACTCGAATCATTTAAGTCAGACGTCGTCGACCTTAAACCAATGCTCCTAATATTAATTAAGAGGACAGTAGAAATTACACTTGAAAACGTTGAAGTTTCCATTTGGTATCGGAATCAATAAAATGAACTATCTCAACTGTAGTTGGACAACGCGAGTGGGCAACAGACCGTGCCCATGTGAAGTGTGTTCAATAAATTATATTCAATTATAATTATTATTATTATTTTATCTAAATTTATCATAATTTATATCTTCAATTGAATAATTTTAACTTGACAAAATATATATATATTTAATTTGTGTCGATATAATTTCATACACTTACGATACGTTTCATTATATTAAAAAGTGTATGGTTATAAAGTGAATGTAAGGCATTTGTTGAATCACTCATAGTAAATAATGCCAAGTAGGTAGGCAAATGAAATCAGAATAATTATTATGCACCGACGATTACATAATTTTATACTATAGAAAACTAGGTACTTTTTGTTTTGGAAACGCAATAGATAAGATAATTTACTTTCTAACATCCAGGCCAAGGGACGTCTCGTGGCGATCGTGCACAAACGATATGTTTATTTTACGAATTATTTTTTTTTTAATATTTAATTCACCTATAAACAGAAACCTGGTTATCATGTAGTAAATTCACAGCAAATCATAACAGTGATAATCAAATGAAATTTTCAAAGTTCATATATTTCCATTTAAAAATGTGTACCATAGTTGGCTGAGTAAATAGAAGTTACTAAACAATATTTTAATTTTGCCGTCTAAGGACAATAAACACATTCGATAAAGAAATTACGTGAAAACAGAAAATTAACAAAAGAATGATTGATAGGAATAAAATCCAACAAGAATGATTATCTTTCTGATGATGGACGCCTACTAACTGAAGTTATAAATTATTTAGTTAGACTTTTGGTTAGTTATTTTCTTAGAGTTTAGCTGAAACGTAGTTTTAACGGCTAACCTTGAAATATGCTAAAAATCACTAATTATGTCCTTAAAATATGTCCAATCACTTCATTATGTTGTTAAAATATGCCTTAAAACTGAAACATCAGATCTGTTAGAAAAATATTTTTATTAGTAAAATTATTGTTCGTGTTGTTAAAAAATAAACATGTTAAATCTTACCTTAAGTGGGGAAAAACTAGAACGTACCTACAGCAACAACGCGATATTGAGGAACTAACACTGATTGATTAAAGTATCCCCTGACTGGTATAATAATTTTACAATATAAGTATGGAGTCAGCGCGTAAATTAGAATATTGACTGTTAATAATATTTCAACTACAAATGGATATAAATTGAATATTTTTTAAGGTAAACACATTTTTTTTTGACCAATTTAAAGAAAAATTAAAATACTAACACTTGTTTTCAAATATATGTGAAATATGCATAAAAAATTACTATAGACTCCCTGATATAATTATGCAAATTTCTATGTCAATGAGTTATGTTTCAAATTAATACCTATTAGAAAACACTCAAACAAATCAAATTATTTGAAATACAAAAAAAAAAAAAACATAATTATTAGAACCGCAAAGATTTTTTTTTACAATTGCTTTATTCCCCCATCAGTCGAATTCTCAAAAATATTTGTCACTTTACACTGACTATATTATATCAGGTACTCAACGGAACGCAATGACGAAAACATGTCCATTCACACTAATGATATTAATTGTAATTATAAATTGTATACATAATTATTTTAATAACTGGGGTAATTATCAGTTATAAATCGACAGATTTATATAAATATTATGGAATACATGCCGTTATTTTACAAATCATTATACTAATAAGCCAACTGATAATTACTATTTAACTAATATAGTGATTTGTAAAAATAACGTCTGCATCCTGGCTGACATGATAAAACAATATACACTGTTGGCAGTAATGTTTCGATGTATCGAAAATAATTACTGCCGCGAAAGAACAATTTTTAGTTTAACCTATTTTATGTATTTATTGACTAGCACATAAAATAGTTGAAACAAACTTAGGTATCTTTTTACCTATTTGTACTCAAAACTAATAGGTACAAAACATTTTTTATACAAACATGACGCGGGTACCTAATTTTAATAATTTGGTTTTCGAAAGTCTTTAACTTGGTTAAGAACATTAATTTGCAATGTCAAACACTATACTCACAGTATTTGCGATAGGTAAATAATATTGATGTGATTATTCTTCCGTATATTATCGATTTATTATATACATTTACTACACACATTTATTCAACTCATGCTTTTGTTAATCAATAAATGTTATGACATTAATAGGTATTATAATTAATTAATCTAACCATCGGGAATGTAATAAAACTAAATTAAAGTGGGTATTTGGTATTATGGTCATTCACACGATACTCGGATACTGATTGTGTCTCATTAAATTTTTATATTTACTATTGAGGCTAAGAGTAAAGAACGATAAATACTACAAAACTAACCTTAATTTCTCAAGTCAAAAATTATTATTAAATAAAAAAAACTCACTTAAGCGTGTTTATTTTTCTGTTCGTCACTTTTATAA